TTCTGCATGAGCCTTGCCAGCAGTACGACGCATGCCGTTGAACAGCCTGCAGCAACTAAGTCGTTCATCAATGGCACACCTCGTTCCAAAAACACAGAAGGGCTGTAAAAGACGTAATTAAACACCAAGAAAAGTGACAGGCAATACTGCGTATGTACCTTTCAAGACAGCTCTGGTCGATGTAGATAAAAAAGGCCGATAGGTCATTTTGAGGAGTGACGTCGTTTTGCTAAACAAAGTTCTGATTAGGAGAGCACAGAATGAAACAGTTTTTCAATAGCAATCGAAAAACCCAGCAAACTTGGATGAAAAATAATTTTCCTTCTCGTAAACCTTTGAATCTTTCTTACCTTAGGATTGAGTTTTATTTTGATCAGTATATCCCAACAAAACTGGTTGAAGAGCTGCTCGTGATCAGCCATACGGCTCGCCAATTTCGAAATCTGTCTAATCGACTTTGCTATCATGCCATTTGAGTGCCCACAGTGGATCGAGTGCGCCTATAGCAGGAAATTCTTCGAAACGAAACCTTCTAAGAACCACTTGTGATACATGGCAAACACCGACTTTCATCACTGTATCTGCAGATATTTCATGCACGGCTGGATCTAGCCAAAGTTGATCGCCGGCCTCATTTGGGCCCCAGTGAAGGCTCGATAAAATACGACGTGCCATACGGTTGGCCGCATCGTCAGGTGGCTTAAAAAAACTTGTCGTTAGGCAATTTCTTAGAAGATGCTAAGGCTTACCTTGTTAATTAGCCATTTCCAAGGATGCTCAACATAGAAGGTGAGAGTTTGCAACCAGATAGATTTGAAGATGCCAAAACATCAATAGCATACTGGAATGGAAGTTACAGTTCAATTCAATTGCATCGCAAGGTCTAGTGCGTGTTCTTAAATGGGCCTAGCAGCGCGCTGATCGAGAGGACCAGGTCTTCTAGGCTTCGATTTGCATAACTGTGGGTCACTACATATTATGGCAAAGCAGAATACCAAAGAACGATGAGGGCAAAAAGGCGACCGGAATACTAAAAGGGAATTAACTCACATTATCCATATGCGTCATACTTCTATCCAGCAGCGTCAGCAGTTGATCGAAAGTAGATGGCCTACGGGCAATAAGCAGCGATACCGCTTCACTGCCAACTTTGTACAAACTCTCACGAGAAGTTTCATCACAGAAACAGACCTTTAACATTTCATTGAGCTGCCATTACAATATCATTGTAGTTGTAAAGCTCATTGGGGATTCCACAAATTACTGTGAAATGTGAAGAACTCTATGGAGGAACTTACTTCTATTATCTCCTTTACCAAATGCGAAGCATCGTTGTGAGAATACGATGAAAGCGCGGCAAGTGTGTTGATTAAGAAGACAGCATCCAATGGGCCTATGGCTTCGAGGCGCTCTTTAACACCACCTAAAATTTAGATTACCCATTGTTAAGTTTCTTTGATTCAAGAAAAAACACATTCCTTTCAGCATAGTTTTCGGAGACCACTCTCATGGAATCAGTGAAGGTAAGAGGAACGCGTCCAAGTCAAATAGAAAGGTGGCTGGCACTTTTCGGCACGACTAGGATACAGCTTTGGACGAAGTTTTCCGTAATCACTCTGCGACTTGACACACGAAAACAAGCTCCAAAGGCTTGACAAAACGGGGGCTAGAAACGTTGCGTTGAGTGACTTTGATCAACTCTATTTGCCATTACCATATAACCAATGCCCTAGGTAGCCCCTCCAGTTGCGTGGAACTCACCCCCATTTTTACAGTATCACCCACTGGATAAACGCTGCGTCTTGATGAAGGGTTTTTGTTTTTAGCATAGCACGCACGAACTACTTTCAGCACGAACGAAAAATAACGATGGATAGAACCTACCAATTTTGTTCCGAGCTAAAACTTCTGATATGGGTATATCGTAGATCTCAGACACTTTAACATGTTCGGTAGAACGTAGAAAATATTCACATCGATTCCGACATTCCTCCGATACACAGTCATATGGTAGATCGACCAGAAACTGCCATAGCCCGAATCTGAACGAAATCTCACATAACCGAGGAAAGTCAATTCATAATAAAGCAATCGCAAAAGGTATGCGATGAAGTACTGCGTGGGGTGAAAATCAAATATAATAATACCCTGGTCTAGTGGCGAGATACTGAACGGCAAGCAGCACTATGCGGTCGACTTCTTTTTGAAGTTGAGAATCTTCACCACTTCGTAATAGATTACGCGTGATTGTCCAGTGGCTACACAGCTCACGAACGCTTTGCCTTGAAAATTACGATTAAAATGCAATGGTAAGTACGTTCACCATAGAAATCAAAAAACTGCAACGGTAAGCACTGTCTCTACCTCAAACAATTTCCAATTTGCTTACAAAAAGTTTTGTACGTGGGCGCACAGTATGTAGACAAGCCAGTATCAAGTACCTGTAAACGATTCATCAAACAGTGAAATAAATTTGAAAAAAGTGAAAAAAAGAAAAAGTGGAAATTAAGAGTTTACCCACCTTCATCAGCAAAAGTTGAAATGCAATCAATGCGACGAACTGATCACTCTTGTCGGATGCTAAAACTCTAATATTGCGAATGGATTCTATTGCAGAATTGAGGATGACTTACTCGAACTCGAGAAGTAAAGGTAGGCTAGAGAGTAAAGCTCCGATATAGGAAGCTGATCGAGAAGCCCCGTAAGATCGGCCTCGTTGATTGTAACAAGAGAGAAGTCGCCCTTAATGATGCAGTATAACCAGATCACTTCGCAAGTAGATTACAGATAAGACGAATGAGATGAACCTCTTCCTCATCTCCACTCAAAATAGCCCAGGTCGAGTCTTCGCTTTCCGACAGGCCTATTTGACGGAGGAACGTTTCACGTGCACTGAAAGATACTTATCACTTCGACGAAACATTGAAAATGACACACACACACTCACGAGATAGGATTCATCAGATGAGAGAGCATCGTAACACAGTAGTCGACTTTTACTTTCGGTGGGGACGGAGCCTAAAATTCATAAGCTCAATGTAACATGGTTAAATGACTAAAAATGGTCAGATTTCCTTGCATCTACAAATCGACTACCTGAATAAATGTTTGTACAAAGGGAGCTGCCCACTCTACAATAGGAGAAGGAAGACGAAGAAGATGATTCAAAACAAACTGGGCGTCTTCACACCGGCATAGCATATACAAGACGCATATCTAGAATGAAAACGACGTTTATGTGGACTATGGATAGAAACCGAAGAAGCTTACTAGTTCTTTAGCCCAGCCTGTCAAGGCATCAGTAAAGCGCTTGGCTAACGATGGGAACCTCAAGTGGAAAAATATTTCGAGAGTGCATTCAATAATAAAACCCTTCCATTTGAGAGATTACAGCATTTTCCAACACTAAAAAATCGGAAAATCGTAAGTGTTGGAGAGGCAAATTGGATGGAAAATTATACTCACATGTGGGTGGACTCTGAAGAGACAATCCATTTTCTTCCATAAACTGCTGATTAATAGAGATTACAACCCATTGAACCTGAATAAAAGAATTACTTCACAAGTTTGTGTCACCTGCCAGTCTTCTCCTTACTTGTAGCGCAGTTGCTCGAAATTGTGATTCTTGGCAGATGCGCTCGTCAAGCAGATGAGTTCTATTGGCAGCAAGCAGATTCTTCAGCTCTTCCACTTTCTCCATACACAAGACCGACTTGTGGAATCGACCTGTTCCAGTGGCTTCCTTGTTTTCACCGCACTTGCCCTAAATAATCGCGAAAATCGGGCGTTTGAAATCCACAAATTCTGCTACTTTTGATGGAATTCCACAAATACTGTTCAAACGATGTGCCAAAAGTCTCTATAAGCCCCTAACCATGATATTCAATATTTCCTTGCTCGTAGAATCGGTTCCATCTATGTGGAAGGAAGCACTGGTTACCGCTATTCCCAAAATTTCCAACACACGATTAATCAGTAATTTTCGACCCATCAGCATAACCCCAGTAGCAGTGAAGATTTTGGAAAAGATCATCAGGGACAGACTTGTCAGGTGGCTTAATAGGCATCACTTCATCCCAAGTGAGCAACATGGTTTCTCAAAGGGTGCTTCTACAACTACTCAACTCTTGGATAGTACATTCGATTGGTTTACGGCTCTGAATAACAAGTATTCTGTTGATATAGTTTACTTCGATCTCTCTAAAGCATTCGATAGAGTGAAGCATTCGAAGCTCATCCTAAAGTTGAAAATGATTGGTCTTGGCGAAAGTCTTCTGAATTGGTTTTCATCCTACCTGTCAGATCGCCATATGTGGGTCAAAGTGGGACATTCATTTTCTGATCGTCACCTGTGTCCAAGTGGTGTCCCACAAGGCGGTGTACTCTCTCCTATACTTTTCCTTGTGTACTGTATAGATCTCCCGGTGATATTAAAAACCCACCCCTCGATTAGAGTGCAAATCTATGCCGATGATATAAAAGTTTATGCCATGTACAATCAAAATAATCGTGATGAAATGTTTGAAGCCCTTTCTGAATCCATAGATAAAATGATGAAGTGGTCGTGTGATTGGGAGTTACCCGTCAACTTATCTAAATCCTTTGTGATGCATGTAGGAAATGATCACGGTTTTGAGTACCAATACAATGACACTGTTCTTCAGAGCCGGACCTTCGTGAAAGATCTAGGAATCACTTATCTTCCAACCCTTGACTTCTCCAGCCATATAGATAGCACTATTCAAAAAGCACTCAGAACTGTATACTTCCTATTCAGGAATATACATAGCAAAGATGAGAACATTTTTCTGAGGCTCTATAAAGCGTATGTGATCCCACAACTTGAATACTGCTGTCAGGTATGGAGTCCACAAAACAAAAGAAATACCAAGCAAAAATCGAAAGAGTGCAACAAACTTTTACAAGACTCCTCTTTCATAGATCCAAGTCAAGTCCCACGTATCCGTACCCTCTTCCCAGCTATGGGGCAAGACTTAGATCTTTTGGGCTGAAAACCCTTTTCTATCGAAGAATCTATCATGATTTGGTGTTATGCTTTCGAGTGTTACGTATGGAGACCAAATTGAGGGCAAGTAAGTACTGGGTCTTCCGACCAAGTCATGGGCGAAGGAATAGCTTTGCTTTAGACTATGTACATATAAAGAGGCCACATTCAGCAAAACTACATAATTCTTTCTTCTATCGATCTGTCAGGTGGCTACAGATGTTACCAGAAGAGATTGTAAGTTCACCCAATTCAGCAGTTTTTCGTCGTAAACTTGATAAAGTGAACATCCTGTCTCTATTGAATATGGAAGATTTTTAGACTTTTCTTGCCGCTTTCGTCTTCACTATGTTGTGATTAGGTCCAAGGCTCAGCGATCGTTGCAAAAGCCAGTTTCAGTGCAGAAAAGCGAATCTGGGGGAAAAAAAAAAAAAAAAAAAAAAAAAAAAAAAAAAAAAAAAAAAAAAAAAAAAAAAAAAAAAAAAAAAAAGAAAAAAAAAAAAAAAGAAAAAAAAAAAAAAAAAAAAAAAAAAAAAAAAAAAAAAAAAAGAAAAAAAAAAAAAAAAAAAAAAAAAAAAAAAAAAAAAAGAAAAAAAAAAAAAAAAAAAAAAAAAAAAAAAAAAAAAAAAAAAAAAAAAAAAAAAAAAAAAAAAAAAAAAAAAAAAAAAAAAAAAAAAAAAAAAAAAAAAAATTTATAATTATCACCTAATTTTCTGATGTTTTCGTTTGATATGTGTTAGCTACACTTGGGCCCAACATTGATGCTTCATCAATCTACCAATTTATTTCTACATAACTATTGAAAAGTACGGTCGTGACAATCCTATGAGGTGGTGCGATTTGGTGCACCTATCTAGTCCCTTTTTCGTCCCAGCGGCAAGTTATTCTCGAGTCTCGGTATTATATGTTCCTTCACAAGCTTTTTTGACTTAACAACACACGGCACAGAAACAAAACATATGTGTATACATATAAACACAGTCAACTACCAGGTAAGCACCACTGGGCCAGCGGTAGGGTCTGTGTTTAGGTTAATGAGATGCAACCTGCATCCGCCCTACATGCTGCGGTTCCAGGCTTGGTTATCTTACTTGGTAGTTGACTCTGTTATGATTCATGTTTTGATAGTGAAGTTTCTCATTGATCCCTCGCGAACAAAAATATATGTATATGTATCCTGCTGCCCTAATTATGACGTGGATCCTACTATACTGATTCTTCGCCACCTCATCTAGGAAATCCAATACATCCAATATATTTATCCGGCTTTCTTAGTGTAAATGTGGTCCCAAGTGTAGCTGATTAAACTTCACTGCCTTTCATACGTGTTCCGTGTTTTTATTGTGCGCACCTTTGAGTGTAGTTCAAATAAATAAATAAATAAATAAATAAAATCTATAACTGATCTTGTACAGATCCTTTCATAAAAAACAACGAAGCTAAAAGCTCACCTTGGACTCGAAAGTTTGCTGTTGCATAACCCAACAATCACGCAAGCATTTGGAAAGGCTCTCAGTATTTTCCTTTTCGCTAACTTCACTTATTGCCATTTGTTCACACAGTTTTTTCAGCCGCTTCAGAAGGGGGAAAAGTGGACCAGAGGATATCAGATTGTTCTAGAAATGCAGAGCATTATAGTATTCGCTTCTTTTGTTACAATGAAGGGATGGGAAATGAATCCTACGAAAGACCTGTATCAAAAAAGGATCACATGGGATAGAATATGGCAAAATAAACAAATGAAAGTAGCTCCAATTATACCTCCACAAACTTGTCCGTAAACTCTTCACTCATCATGTAGAGAGGATTGTGGTAGAACGCCAGCAAATTTTGCTCGGTGAGCAGTCCATGACAGTCTTTTTCATAGTGCGTTTTCGTCAAAGACGGATATAATGGAGGTGCATCAGCTACTTGTGGTCCAGCAATGGCCGCGCTCTGAAAAACGTTGACATCTAAGGATAACGAGGTTTGAATTGTATCTTGGATAATGAAAATCCTTGCCTTCTCCATGATCCCTTTAGAGAGCTCTTCATATAGAGGAGGTGGAGCAACTGTCGTAGTGTATGTAGAGTTCATAGTGCTTTCAGAAAGTTGAGGAATTGATGGATAACAAACAGGATCGAAGACGGCCACTTGTGCTGGTAAGGAAGAAGCTTCCACAATGGGCGTGCTGAATGAAGCTCCAAACATTAGGTTCTCAAGTTGAACGTTGTGACTACAGGCTGGGAATCCATGATGCGTAATGTCTGCTGAGTCTCGCAATAGTGTTCTGTGCTGACTGACACGTGGTTATTGCATGTGAATTGATTATTTAAAGCCTTAGTCTCAAACAAGCCGTGTCTGTGTGGGTGGCAAGTGGTTCGCTTGCCGCACACACGGTCTGGTACTAAAACCCGGATAGAATCCATGCCAAACCATCCTTTCGTCTCTTTCGGATTCAATATCGAAGACGGCAGCCGAAACTAAAACTTTGGCTCAACCTACCCCGGCGCTTACTCCATCTACAATGAGGATTTACTCTTCTCCTTCTCTAGTTTCTCGCTTTTCCCGGTATTCCACCGGTTTTAAAACCACTTTTCGAATCTCGAATTATGGCTCTGCCCACTTTGATGCATGCTCCACCTACCAGTAGAAATTGGATTTTTTTCTGAGTCTTCTCAACATTCGGGACATTTTGGAACCGAATTATGAGGCTTCGTAGTAACGCCGCTCCCTCAAGGACACGCTCCACATTGTGGGCGAGCTCCGCACACCACAAGGGTTCCGAATACGTTAGCTAATGCTCCCCTACACTAACTTTTTCTGCTTTGTAGTTATCTCATGACCGAAATATGAATCAGTTTTGATGAGCACTGTCTATTTGGAAAATGCTCCGCCCACAACAGGTGGACCTGCTTTGAGGCAAGAAGCAGATTGATGCAATAACCCCATTCGAACATGAAAGTAGGGATGCGTAGTGGACAGAAAATGGAGAAAAAGAAAAGACATCGTCAGAGACCACGAAAATACTACAGCATTACGCCGCAGAGAAGCAGACAATTGAGATAGGAGATATGTCAGCAGCGCGGAAAGAGAAAATCCAAGTCTGGAGTGCATAGCATAACAAAACGTTACGACACAGACAAGATGTCGGATAATGGGTGGGCATTGATCCTTCTTCTCTAGGCGTATGGGCGATCTCGAGTCGAGTGCCTAGCGCTACTTTCCAACGCAGTTTGTAGGCCCCGCGATAAAGAAAAAATACGCGTGACCATTGTGGCGACACTGCGCACCCTACTCCATGGCGGGCTTAGTCAGTGAGGCTCGCCCCGACCATGAGCGTTTTAGCGAGTATGGCATGCTCAACTTGGCTCCACAGACAATACCTCAACGCTTTGGGTGCGTTGCGGCACAATCGATTCGGCCGCTGCTCGCCCGGCGGCCCGCGCCCATTATGGGTTAGCTAAATTGCGATCTGGGAGCCCAGCTCAATGTACACTCCTGCGCACTTTCCCCGTTTTCTAAGCTGTCTTAGAAACAAATTTTCGCCACCGGCAGTGCCCCGTCTATTGTGGACGGGTTTTTGCCTGGTGCACGTGGGCTGCGTACATCCTGTCCCATTCCTCACCCATTCCAACTTGGCCGGGACTTTACAGGGAGTTATCCAAAGGTACGAGTTTTGTGGTAGACACACGAGACGAGACAGACACAGGCAGATCGACAGACAAACAGAAACCGGTGCTAACTTAGTTGGGGGGGGGGGCACGCGGCGGCGCGGCAGTCTGCTCACCTGGGCTCTCTCGAGCGAGACAGTGTAAACTCGAACATTCCAGCTTTTCACGCATGTCAAGTGACTGCCCCCACCCCCACCCCCCTAGACTGCCTACACTCCCCCTGGCCCACGGATTTCCGAACATGCCAGGCGAGCAGACTGCCGCGCCGCCGCGTGCCCCCCCCCCAACTAAGTTAGCACCAAATCTTAGCGTTTCATATTGGAAGAATTAAACCAACCGTCTTTTCAGATTCGATAGCTGTTCCATTCGACAGAACTTCATCGGAATGAGGAACATCAACTGTCTCAGTGACCACTGTAGAAGTAGACGGCTGTTCATCATCCGACAACACACTAAACAAAAATGAGATATGTGAAGCGAAATCTTCAACAAAACTGTTAGGTTAGTTAGGCGCTGCTGATACCGAGCATTGGCCGATGTCAGACTTTGCGATTAGAGCGATTTTGCACCAATTGCAGGAGCGACGGATCGCTTGAGCGATGCGAGCGACGGGAGATTTACACCGCCGACCACCGATAATTCGGCGCCATCAGCTCGTAAATGTCCCGTCGCTCGCACTGCGAGATTCGGTATCGGTATTCGGCGGGAGATTTACCCCGCCGAATACCGATACACACGGCGCCGCTCGGGTAAATCTCCCGTCGCTCGCATCGCTTGAGCGATCCGTCGCTCCTGCAATTGGTGCAAAATCGCTCCAATCGCAAAGTCTGACATCGGCCAGGAACTGCTGAGCAAAGAGGATGCGGCGCAATGTGCTCGGGGGGGGGCAGTCGCCGCGCGCGCCTTGCGGCAACAGGAAATTCGTGAGCCAGGGGGAGTGTAGCCAATTCAGGGGGGTTGGGGGTGAGGGCAGTCACATGACATGCGTGAGAAGCTGGAATGTTCGAATTTCCTGTTGCCGCACAGCCGCGCGCGGTGACTGCCCCCGAGGCACATAGCGCCTGATTTTTAAATTGTGAGCCATAAATCGATAAGAGGGCGCTTGTCTTTGCGGAACATGAACAGTTTATCTAATAGATAACCAAAGTCAAACCGAATATGTTGGGTTGGGATTCCAACTAGTTCTTTCTAACTACGAACTTCTACTATTCCAACGTATCGGTCTTCGATTGCATGTTTCCAAATGAGAAGGGAGCGTATTTCATAAAGAACGACTCTATAGAAACGTATAAACTTCAAATGTTCACAGTATTACGGTCTCCTGCTTAAGATTCTGGGGAACTATTAATTACAGGTGAATATTGAAGACCAACTGATGGTCGATAGAACACGTTGCGCCAACGAATGAGTCATCTATTTGCATGAGGAGAATATCAATCACAGCTATGTCCACTGAGCTATCCATTCCCCTTTTGGCATTCAGACTACCCCACGAGCTTTGACTGAGAACGGCATAAAATAAAAGTTTCACATCGTCAGATCTATTACTACACCTATATTCTCCATTCAGAGAACAGAAAAATAAAAAAAACCTACACTTCTTCTGGTTCCGGGCTGCTGGTTCTGCAAGGCTCATGTTGAGGAACCTCGGGCAACCTCATTCCCATTACCACGGCAGGCCGCGATGGAACGGGAGGTGTTTCTCGAACGGGAGCACGCTCCTTGGGTCTGGGCTTCTTTGGTTTCACTGCTTCCATCCCTCAAAATATCAAGTAAAAAGAAAGAAATTGCGATTGTTCAGAAATTCAAGATTCTTATGTAAAAGGGAAACTAGCTAAAAACTTGTCACTTTGTCACGAGAAGCTAATTCGGACGTCAAGTAAAATGCTTGCTACACCACGCAATATTACACCTAAAACCTATTTGTTTCAGGGGGATCACGAAAGCGCCCTGATGCTTATTTATGTAAAAACTAATGTTTCTTGCCATTATCTTGTTCTCCCAAGTCGCACTTATGCTAGGTGATCTCGCAAATGGGAATATTGTAGAAGGTAAGCATTATTCGAATGTAGAAGCTAAACCATTAGATAGAACGCGAGGAAATGACCAAGTTCCCGCCTTTTAATTAAGTTACCGTTTCCTTTATCAGTAGTTAGAGGCTGGCTATGGTTTTTTCGTCACTAATTTGACCCAAATTATTTCTGATTCTGAGCTTGGAAGCTTTAGGAATCGGAAATGACGCACTCGCTTATTGACTCACGCTACTAATCAGTCAGCTCGCGATAGCATTCATTGGTTATGTTATGGGTAATTGCTTTATTTCTAATTTATGTTTTGCCTAATGTCTCTGAATGACAGATATTCCAGAGGTGCGAGGGTTGCGCAGATTCATCCCGATTTGGCTGGTGATATCCAAGGATTCCGAGATTCGTTCGCGCGAGGTCATAGCGGCCGTGTAAATGATACTAGGGTAGGTTGCGATTCCTTGTTATTTTCAGATCTAGATTTTCTAGACTTTACTTCCCTATACTCGCGAAAGGCTAAGAAAAAAGAAAAAGAAAAAGAAACGGCCACTCCGCCGTCCTCTCAGTACGTTGGGCAGGCTCTCTAGCCTATCGCAACGTGTTAGATCGCGTAGCTCTTGGAGGCGCAATCACGCTGAAAAGGCGACCCATTCCAGATAAAGTTGAGGGTCAGTGGTACAAGAAAGAAGGAAAAATCATGAGGAACGCGGCTTGGAACTTGAGAAATGAGACCCCTTCCTTGCCCGTTGCGCACTGGTGCTATTCTCATCGTGCCCTCTACAACGCTGACGCTCTCTGCTAGGTCGGTGGGCGTGCCTTGCCAACTACGCCAAGAGTCAGCCATGCTATATTGCCTTCTTTGACATTCGTTTTTATTGTGGAAATCCTGTCTGTGGTGTCTGTTCATTGGACAACCATAGCTGAAGACCGAGAACGGTGAAAGAGAAGTTGGGACTCGCGCAAGACCAACAACCAATCAGATGGCTAAGTCGTTAACACAAAGTCTACTCCGCAAGAGAGTGGTACAGCAAACAGGCACTTCCTCTCTTCCATATCACCTGGGTTCTGAAGTCTGGTCAGGTAACGAAGCTACTTTTTCTGTCATGTCAAAAAACTGATGCCAGAGACTGTCTTGTGATTGTAACGCATTTCATTTACCGTAGTTCCTTTTCTTACTTAGTCCCACGATCTAGTACCGCCCGGATCCGTGTGCCGTTTGAATCAAATGGCATGCCGTGTCGTTAGACCCGGGCGGATTAGGGTGTAGACGAGTAAGTGGCGGCGGCTTACCAGGAAGGTCTTTCAGGGCGTGACGAGCTTTTTGAAAACGGTCTTTTGCATGATATAGGGGCAGATGCGGGGACCACAGAACCATGTTTAATTTTTCCTGAACGGCCCTCTGAATACCAGAAAAGGGGGTCCCTAGTTCGATTCCTCTTGGTGACAAATTTTTGCATTTCGAGTTGACGTTCCAAAATTCGCGCAAAATGGAGTTCTGATTGTTCTGGTTGGTTCTAACTCCATTTTGCGCGAATTTTGGCACGTCAACTCGAAATGCAAAAATTTGTTACCACGAGGAATCGAACTAGGGACCTCCTTTTCTGGTATTCAGAGGGCCGTTCAGGAAAAATTGAACATGGTTCTGTGGTTCCCGCATCTGCCCCTATATCATGCAAAAGACCGTTTTCAAAAAGCTTGTCACGCCCTGAAAGACCTTCCTGGTTAGAGATGTTAGGCTCGGCGATTGTGGCAGTCGCGAGAGCGTTGTCGCTAATAGCGGTTGCACTTTGGCGGATCTGATACACCTATCGCAGTTGAGATGCTCCACTCGGACGCGTTTTCTTTGCATTTCATGGTGATGCTCTGTACATCGCGCCACCATGGAATGTCTGCAGATTGTGATTCAACAGTGAGATGTCCGTCGGAGATGGCCCACCGCTCGGCACAATCGCGAGGTCTGACGGACATCTGAGCACGGGACGAACCAAATCGAGGCACACCTAATATTGGTACCGCATCGCGCGCATTACGTTTTACCCGTGGCTACGTATAAATGTGATGACGGATCATAGTGGTGTACATTCTTGGGAGCAGTTGTTGCGACAAACTGATGTCATAAAAAGTGGATTTAGAGTTTGTAAGTTTGTATAGCAGCGAAGAAAAAAGCGGGAAGCCGGGCCTGATAACCGGCGAAGTAAGACATTTTTTGCTCGTTGATTCCTGCGCTCGACAAGATTCTATGATAGATAACGTTAAAAGGAGTTAATACCCTTGCTCAGCCATTCTGTACTCTTTCGCCTCTTACTACCAACCAATTATAAGCACTCTGCCATTGCCCCACGAAGGCAATGTTCACCACATGCAAGGCTGCTAAGGACGCAGATTTTACCACGAAATGACCACGTCTTACTCTCATATGGGCCTTTGCTTTCCTTCACAGTAGGCAGATTTCCCGCTTAAATTCAATTAATCGTTCCAACTGCCTTCAGATTCTTTTCTACTAATCGAGTCTTAATGTCTGAATTTGCGAGGTTGACTTTTTTTTATGGTAGGGGAGCATTTGAGCAATAGATTCGAACCAATGGAGCCACACTAGTACATATGATTTCGATACCCTTGGCCTTGGAAGTAATCAGCCTCATAGGCTCATTCCACGACAGCGGGATTTTTGATGCCTTAGAAATCCAAGCATATGAAGTGAGAAGAGAGGAGACGCGGAAAATTGCGAATTCTGACTTGAACGAGATAGTTTTCTGAGCCTATTATTTATTCCTTATTCGTTTTGAAATATGTGAAATTGTCAAGCTCATGAGATAAAGCCTTAATATTTTGTGTTTTGTAGGTCAGAATATGTATTTTCAGAGGTAGAAGTGGAACGTCCTGATGCAGTTCATACATGTCCGATCTGCTACGACAACGCTCTCTTCCCTGCACTTACTAACTGTGGTCACGTTTTTTGCTGTAAGGTTTTCGATTGCTAACGACTTCCTTGGCAGGACATCCCGACTTATAGAAGCTTAGATTCATGTGCTTGCTTTCAGGTGAATGTATAATGGGATACTGGAGGCATTCTTCGTCGTTAGTATCTCCTGTAAAATGCGCCATCTGTCGAACGGAGGTTGTTATTTTTTTATCTTATGGATGTATCTCACATGTCTTTCTACAATGCGTTGTTCTCTTGCAGGTCACGGTACTTCTTCCTGTTAACTGGCCTGTGGATGAGGAGAACACACGTCTTCGAGAAAACAATATTGGCCTGAACGACTACAATAGAAGATTTTCAGGAGATCGTCCTGTTCGTTGCTTGTTCACGTTGATGTCTTATCAAGTATTGCGTTCAAAAACGGCTGCTTTTTCAGTGGCTGGAGTACTTATATGATGTGCCGGTTTTGATTCCTTATATAGTGCGAAGTTTGTTCGACTTTAATGGGCTCATGATTATGTTCAGGTTGGCTTGAAATTGGCATCGCTTTCGCGAATCCTGACGTTTTTTGTTTTTATACTATTCTATCTTAGATTACGAGTGCTCTTCATTGCGATTGGTATATTCGCCTATGTTCTGTCACCATTCGATATAATCCCAGAATCGGCTTATGGACTAATTGGTCTGTATTTCGTAACAGTTATGCTTTTTCTCCAAGAAAAGGAAGGATGGCTTTATCTGGTTTCAGTGTTATTGTTTTACAGGCCTGGTGGACGATGTGTTCGTAGCCGTCCTCTTGCTAGTTTATATAGCCATCGCTATCCGCCACGTCATGGCTCGCAGAGGAGAAGCTCCACCGGAGTAAAAGTAGATTTTTTTAGAATTGTTTAGTCAAAAATCAGTCACCGGTAGAATATTCTGTGTTCAGACTTTTATTTATTTTGGTAACACTTGCGGCTGGTCAATCCGTTAACTTGTACATTTTTGAGTTCTTATTGCCTGAGATTACGAGTAATAAATGATTTTACGAGGAAATTTCGTCGAACCAAATCACGAAGAGTGGTCCACAAACCGGAACTATCATTATCCCATTTAGGCAGGTCAACTACATTGCCATGAGTTTTCTGTAGTTGCGTACATGAATCCTGAATTGATTATTGCTCTGACAGTGATGGTCCTGGTCAACAGATGTGCTTGAGTTTATGCATGCTTTCTTGATCTCTACTTCAATCTATATTATAGTATTGAGGATATATTGGTCAAAGATTGCGATAGATTGAGAATGGAGATCGAGAATGCAAATTTATGTGAAATTTGTGGCTATTATCTACTATTGTATTATCTTTTTTTTTTGCTTACTTCCCATCCCTTTTTTTCTTTTTTTATGGGAACCTGGTTTGAGATACAATTTTGTGTACCACTGTCTCAGTGTTTGACGCTCTATCATTCGGGATTCCCCGTAGGTTGGCTTCTGTTTCATAGTTTTAAGGTAATCTACCTGCAGTGGGTTCTATATCGCTAGGAAAGTCTAGTAGAAGTGTGCGCTAGTAGAACTTGCCTAGTAAATGTCTCTTCAGAAGCTTCAGCTATTTTTTGTATTCTACGCATCTGGTCCGCCTAATAGCCTCATTTATGGGTGTCTTCAGGAGTTTTGTTGGAATTAGGGCTAGGTTAGTAGGACAGTTTCCCTAAACTACTGATGGGAATAGGCGCAAACTGCACCCTTTCGTCCTTCATTTTTCTCAGTTTTTTGCCGTTTTGAATCTCCCTGCTATTTGCAATCGTCTTGACAGTCGCAATTCAGGGCATGCGCCTTCTGGATCTTTAAGGCCGATGTCAGACTTTGCGAATCGCGCGATTCGCTAGCGTCTGCGGTCGCGTCGCGGCCAGTGAATCACTCAATTGGCTGGTACCGCAACGCGACCGCGGACGCTAGCGAATCGCGCGAATCGCTAGTAGCGAATCGCGCGATTCGCAAAGTCTGACATCGGCCTTTGCCGAATTGTTTAACTTCGTATAATGTATGCTATACGAAGTTATTTAAATCGAAGTCCTCGGGAAACAAAGGTGTAGCTTCTACATTAGGTGAGACATGTGGTAATCAGTAATATTATACATTTAATGGAAAAACTTGATACAGGTATCAGAGCAGGACCGTCACAAGCTACCGTACAGAGACATATTGAAAATGCGCAGAAGAGCAGGATTCTTCAGTTGAAGTCTTGTGGTTCCCCACCGCCCGTTTGAAGAACTTTTGCCGCTTCCTTAACGAGGTTCGATGTACTTCGACTGATCATACAATCCTGTTCGTTTTTCATTGATTCCTCTCTATAGCTCCATGAGTTGATACGAATTCGAATCAGTGGCAAAATTAAGATAAAAGGACGTTACCAACCAAACTATCGGAGCGTTCGCAGATATCTCAAGCAGTATACACCTATTATGAAAATGCATCTCAGTAAGTTGGTTCTTCTTTTTAAATTTCTTTAATTCTCTATCAAATAAGAGGCAGTCGTATAATTTTTCTTTGAAGGTGAATACCTATTGAGATTGGGAATGCTGAAAAATTTGAGTCCTCACGTGTACAGTTACAACTGTCGTCACTGCCATAAGCATGGGTATGAGCTAGACACATCTCTGAAGACTCTGAATAGTATTCGGATAGATATATCACTCAATTTCCTTGTAGGTAAGATCTGCTGTCACCTGGTGTCACTGGAAACGCTGAATCTTGCCCAAAACACCATCACCGAGCTACCAGATGAGGTAATCTTCTTACAAAATACTGTCTCTTTAATCATTTATTGCGTTTGCATATTAGGAGGTTAACGTGACGCATATTCATTTCCTTCAATGAGTAATCAGAGATTTTCCGCGCCTTTGTAACCGGAAGAAACCCCTTTGTGTAGTTTTGGGCGAAAAAAATCAGCATAAACAACGAAAAAACAGAGTGAATGATTGGGAGACATTGGCCACAAATTGAAAACACACTGGTTGAGTTTATATAATACTTCGATTTAGACAAACAGTCAGTTTGGCTAGTTGTCCTAATATCCGCAGAGTTGTTGTACGCAGGGAGCAGTAGTATGTTTTGATGAAATCAAAGTGCAGGGAAGGAATTAGTAGTGGCTTGCGCGGAAATCAACTATTTTTGAGGAGGATTTGAAACGATTAATTCGATATTTCTAGTATTTCTTACTCCTGACTATTAGGCCGCTTGAATTGGGTTTCATCAAAATGTTTTTTTTTCGGAACTGGAAGCATATAAAAGTAGGTTCCGGTTTTTGTCGACACTTTGCCTGATTTGGTTCTGAACCGACGTGAGTAATGTGAAGAGATAAGGAAAAGTAAGAAGAAGGTGTAGCGCTAGAAAAGATCATTCCACGTTTTCCGAAAGGACTGAAAGGCTTTCAGAAAGACTCATTAGAACAGGGTCAACCCTACGTTGTACTGGAAGCTACAACGGGGCCAGGTCGTACACTGGTGAGTTTTGATGGATAGGGGGAGGTCGTATTACTTTAGAATCGGCACTCGAAATTCACGTGTGCGGTCAGCCGGCGTATATACCCCCCCTAGAAAAGGAAACAGTGAGATTATAGGGAGAAATTAGGGTAAATTGGTTGAAAATTTAGGGAATTGTGGGAAATTATGGGAAAATTTTTACTGTTTCAGAGGGACTATATACCCCCCCGCTCGACGGCATTTTTGGAGGAAAAAGTGGGCGGAGTTTTGAGGGTTGAGTGGTAGTGGAAGTTAATGTTATAGAGAGGAATATGGTGATCGAGGTGTCGGAAGGGGGGTCGTACCAAATCCACCTTGGGGGAGGGGGGTCGTAAAAATTTTTCGAATAGTAACAACGATAGGGTTGACCGACTGCTCTAGACAGCCGTATTGGCTTTTCTCCGTTTCTTCAGTTATGGAGAATGCGAGTAAGGGTTACAATTCGAAAGTGTAATGATGTTCGATTGCCACTATTTCAGGTGAGCTCTTTGAATGCATCTGAAGTGAACTTTGAATTCAGAATCGGCTCAAGAGACTCAGTCGCCTTATGAAAGCTTTCTCCGTTTCTTCAGTTATGGAGAATGCGAGTAAGGGTTACAATTCGAAAGTGTAATGATGTTCTGGATTGTCACTATTTCAGGTGAGCTCTTTGAATGCATCTGAAGTGAACTTGAATCAGAATCGTCTCAATTCTCTCAATGCGGATGCTCTTGCCAAATGCCCTCACTTGAAAATTCTCCGAGTTGAAGAGAATTGTCTTGCCAAAAGTGAATTCACCGTAAATCTGCTATCGCACTCCCCTGTCAGTATTATAAGTTATTCGGGTAACATCTTCCAAGATCGAGAATTCCAAGATCTACCAGGTTATGAGAATTATCAGGAGCGCTTTACTGCGACGCGACGAAAAATGTGACAGTGTTCGCACATTCCAGTTCTCATAGCGACACGTGTCGTGGTTGCAAAATTGCAACACACGCGGCTTCAGACAGCATGAAGAGAATCAGAAAGCACTCAAGATTGATTTTTCGAGGCTGTCGCCAAGTGAGCTACTAAGTCTGCAATTACGACACGTCTCGTTATGGGAAATAGTTCATGTACACAGGTGTTCGACCTTCTTAGGAGGCTTTTATACTGCCTCCAGCTTTCAGTGACTTTTACATTGTCAACACTATCTCAGTGATAACTGCTTAAGAATTCTTAACGGCTTATTTTTGCTTATAAGTAATTATTCCGAACGGATGCTCTTCTACCACCAGATGAACCTACTAATCTTAATTCAGCAAACCATAATATTTATACACTCCTTTAGATTTCGTTCTTTCATGTTGGTCAACTTGAACATAGTCAGTGGTTGTGAATTTCTGTGCTATACCTTGAAGAATGTATAAATATTTATCTTAAGTTGATTTACATTTACAAAATGTGAAGTGTATTCGACGCAATATGTGCAGTTCTCATGAGATCTGCTAATTTACCCGACAATATGACAAGCACTGTATAATTAAGATTACTGTAGTAAATCACAGGCTATTCCACCAAAACACGATTGAGTTGCGGTCTAGTCAGGACCATTTTAACTCACATGTGACAAGTAGTCCACATTCAACGACCGCGACGCAACCGCTCGTGTCAAGACTCTGTACCTCACAATCGCGAAAAACGTATATAAATGTGTAAAAATGTCATGAAGGTGTTAATCGTGGTAAACAAATGACAATGATATAGGCGACTAGAATATCAGTTATGAACTTATTCACGCAACCTGTTCATCTCTGATTGAATCCACGGTAGGGCTGCATAGACTTTCGAGTATACACCAGGTCGTCCCGGTCGACCACATCCGATACCCCAGCTAACCAATCCTTGGATTTCCCAACGACCCATGTTCATGCACATCAATGGCCCACCGGAATCACCCTGCAAAAGTGCTTTTGGGGCGCAAAGTACTGAAACTGTGTGGACACGATGGCTAAAGGGTGGAACGCTTTTAGTGACGTCATTGGGAGTGGTTGGTGAAAGGGCGTCAAGAGGTGGTCCCGGCCACGCCCTCCTCTGCGAGAGGCCCGGTCCACCAATGACGTCATCAAAACCGCTCTACCTTCCTCTCATCATGTTTACTGCCTTCAAGTACAAAACAACATTATTAGACCCATGCGATGTAAAAGAACAACCAAAGAATCTTCTCTGAGGTCCCTTATTCGCGCCCACTCCTTAGAGTATTCAGTGTTTTCTTACCTGGCAAGAGTCAATGATCCCTTGTG